CGCGAGGATGCCGTCTACCGTCTGAGTTTTTCGTCTGCACCCCATTTGCCCACTTTGGTAGGGCGGGCATTTAGGCGCAACTCTCCCCATCAGTAGCCTGCCAAAGATCTTAGACAAGCACGGAGAGAGACAGATCGGGCGCAGGTCAGCAGGATTGGAGGGTTGGGGCGTTTTGGGCAGGAGCACTACCTTGGCCTCGTACCAGTTCTCGGGAAGAGGCTGTTGCCCAAAGAGCAAACGATTCATGAAGCGGAGAAGCTTGCCCGTTTTGTCGCATCTATGATAGGTCCGGATTGCCTCATAGCACACTCCGTCCAGGCCAGCGCTTGTGCGTGGCTTGCATTTGGCGATGGCCAGGCCTAAGTCATCCTTAGTAAAGGGCTGCGGTCTAACGGAGGAATGTGTAGCAATCATCCGATGGATCGCCTCCTCGGTGGGAGGCGGGAGGAGGGAAGCGTATTTGCGGTCATAGAACTGCCGGAGTTCCAAGCTGGCCGCTTGTTGCCCCCCTCTTTGCTCAATGTAGCTGGTTTCAAACGAAGCATGCGCGGCACTCTTTCGGAGGTACGTGATAGCCTGCCTATCCCCTTCCCTGGCTCGCTGCAGAATGTTCAACTGGTGTTCGTGCCGATCGTTGGTTCGGCGTGCCCGTATTTCGGACAACATGCTCGCTCTCGTGTGAGGGTCCTGGCAGGCACGTCTGGTTGCAATAAGGGCCTTAAGGTCCGAAGAGTCCTGGTATCGAAGGGAAGGAACTCGCTCGGCTTTTAAACACAACTCAGACATGCGAGAGGGACCAAACTCCATGTCCGAGGCCGCATAGCTCTCCAGCTCCGGAATGCTGGGCAGCCACCGGCCACACCTGGTGGTGGGGCGTGTGCCTCTGTGGAGCAGCGGCATCGGGGTGCAAATTCTCAGAAAGACGGGGCAGTGGTCCGAGGGGAGCGCCAGTCGCATGTCATCCCGCTTGTGAGCATACGTGAGACTTCTAGGGACACGAGCCAGGACAGCGTCGATTTCGCTAGCAGCCCCACGGGCCGTCCAAGTGATGCCCACGGAACGATGCAACGAGAGGCTATGTTTCTGAAGCAGAGCCCTCAGAAGCCCCATTCCCGAAAAGGTGTCCGAGCTGGCATGAAGGTCCTGGTTGAAATCACCGCCGACGATGACCATGGCCTCGCCACCTGTATCCTGCAGTTGAGAATCCAGTAGCTCCAAGGTGTCCTTCCAAACCTCCTCTGCAGAAGATCGTGGTTTAGCTTCGGTGCTGACCCGTTTACTGTGGGGCAAATGCAAACATGCCAAATGAATTCGGTGATTCCGACATGCACCATGCAGGACAAGACCAACGGGAAGCCCCGACTTGTGTGTCGCATGGAATTCCAGTTCGGTTTTGACAAGAATAGCCTGGTTGAGGTGTGCTTCGGGCGCGCTGCAGTGATACATCTTGTAGGGTACAGACCCAAAACAAAAATCCGAGACCTGAACCTCAGGAGTGGCCCCAGGACAAGCACCTAATTCCTGCACAAAAAGAAAGTCAGGGCATGGGACAGTCCCCTGCCACAGATCAGCAACCTCACGGAGACTTTTACCATGAAGATTCCAGGTACATGCTACGAATTCGGGTTTGAGGGGTCGCCCTCGTTTCCTGTTCCGGCCACCCTCCTAGGGGGATCCTGACGCCTCAACCTCGAAGTGTGTATGCAAGACCTTGAGATCAATCCCCAAAGTTCGAGCGAGAAGGGGACCCGGGACCCACCATCCCGTTTCGTGGCCCCGTACATCAAGCAACAACAGAGCCCCATCATCCGGACGTTTCTGGTCCACGTGGGCAAGCACACTGACCCCATTAGCCCAGAACCTTCCACGCCAGTCAAACTCAAAGTCCCTGGGGGGCAAATGTTTGGCAACAAGAGCCTTGAGGGACACTATGGCTCGAATACGGGCTCTCTCCTCAGGACTACGGTTTCGCTTTGCCCAAAGTGCCCCCGTCCCTTGCCCTGGAAGGGAGCTTGGCTGAGCAACTGCTCGGAGGGCCTCAACACACATGCCTTGGACCTTACGTCGTTCTGCCATGGCATCCTGCATGTACAGCAAGTCGACCCTACACGTGTTGGAACGCACCGAGCTGCAATGCATGGCCTGCAGGAGAGGGCCACACTCAGCTCTCGTGAACCAGTCTCTCACTTCTTGTTCGATGTCCTCGCGTTTCGCATCCTTCCAACCGCCTAAAACAACCTGCCAATCATCATGCGCGGGATTCCCACGAGCCCCACGAGGTGAATGCGTCGGAGTGTATGCTGAGGTGACACTAGGAGACCTAGAGCGAAAATCCCTCATCTCCTGTTCCATAGCCGCCAAACGGAGCTCAAGAGCCGCAGTTCGTTCTAAGTGCGAATCCTGCCTCGACTCCAAAGACTGCACCTTATCTGCTACTCCCTGAATGGAATCTCTAGTGACCTGGATGGCCTGCATCTGCTCGTGTTGTCCTCGATGAAGCCGGTCGATGCCCGCCTGAAGTGAGGCTGCCCACGGCGGGGGGACATCATCACCAATGTCGTACTCCTGTGGCAGCGGGCGTTTGTTCTTGTCGGGGGGGACAGGCCCCCCCCCAAAAAGGGGAGGGGGTTGCAGCCCCACTGGCGGTCCTTTGGCGGCAGCGGGATCGAGGGTCGGAGGTCGTGCTTTCTTTTCGGGGCTTGTTTTAGGCGAGGACTTGGGGGCTCGGGTGGCTTGGTGTTTAGCAAGGAGATTAGCGGCCACCGCTGCTGCTTCAGCCTGCTTGGCTTCAGTTTCCGCCAGCCCCACCCCTCTCCCCGGTCCAGGATCACACGGCCCACCCACGGCATCCCCCAAGGCGGCCCGGAGCGCATCCTGGGCCGCTTCTTGCATAACCATGTCGGGCTGCTCGGCCCCCAGAAGAGCCCCTGAGCTAATTGGCGTCCCAGCGTCATCCAACCCCCCCCCCCCCCCTCCAGTTGTTCGGAACGGTGCAGGTGGGGCAACAGGAGCGTACTTTCGTCCGACCCCGCCATCCCGACGAACGACGACACGACGAGAGGGACTGGTGGAGTAATGCACCCGGGAGGCCTCAGAACAGGACTACGAGGAGGAGGAGAGCTCAAGCCTGCCCGACGCGGCCCGGAAGGCGCGACCGCGCTCCAGGGGCACACACGCCAGCTGACGGCGGACTTGAGCCAAAATGGCTACAATGTTTGGGGTTTAGGGTTTAGGATTTAGGGTTTAAGGCTTGGCCCTCGATTGTCTGGTTATTGTCTGGTTCTTCAGAAGGGAATGGGGGAATGGATCCCTATATAGTAGCCCCTAGATAATCCCCAATAATAGTCTCCATAATCCATTCCCCCATTCCCCCTACTAAGAACCAGACAGCATTGTATCCTACACCGTGACGGTTTAGGGTTTAGGATTTAGGATCTTCATCTAAGGACTTTTTCGTTTCCCCCTAAATAGTAGGATCCTTCTCATAAGGACCTCAAAATAAGGTACCCGTAATTTTTGGAAACTCCCATATAAGGACTTTTTCGTTTGAGTTCAGAGTTTGGGGCAGTAGCTCTTCTTGGAGGAACACTCGGACCCTGCAGGGTCACTCGAGGAAACATGCAGTACAGTACAGTACATATATGGACACACAATAGCTACATCTACATATACACATGTATTTATATGATCTAGATGTATATATACGCATACGTACATAAACATACACATACTGCGAAGGAAGAGACACAAAGACAGAGGGAGAGAGAGAGAGACAGAAAGGGGTTTAGGCATTGGCTTCCGGGGGACACTTAGGACAAGTGTCTGAAGCTCTGAGTCAGGGAACACACCTACACCCCGCTAGTAAACACTGCCTGGAACTCTCAATTAGCCACTATCAGAAACCAAAGAATTAGGCGATGCAAGCTGAAACCCAAACCCATCTTAAACCCCAGACATACGCGACGATTAAAATCAACCCAACCCATACCTGAACTCTAATGAAGTTTACAGCTCCCTGACCCGCACACAACGCAACCCAACCATATGAACCCACATGAATCTCAGCGCAACCTTATTGGACATCATGACAACAATATCTATGGCAAGACTCGCTGTCTTCTCATACCAGGTTCGCGATGATGCTGGTAAGAATGGCGGCTTTGACTGTACCGACCCATGAATGTTCGAATTGATAGCGGCAGCAATCATGGTGGTGGTTGCAGCGGTGGTGGCGGTGGTCGTGGTGGTGGTGATAATATGAAGGAGACGAATGAAAGCAACTGTGAGATTTCTAACAATGGTAGTATTACTGATAAAAAGGTAATCGTAAGAACCATAGAAAACAAATTCAAGCAACATACATCAAACACTCGCAAGAAGAGTGATACTTCGAAGAAAAACCAATTCGTGCAAATCAATACAGTACTAGTACAAGTACAATGGTGATGTTGCAGATAATTACCAATCGCCTGCGTCGCCGTGGCCAGCCCTGCCACACCGGAGTCCCGAAGACGCGTCTGAAGCGGGGGCGGCAGCCCTGCAGAGTTTGGGACACTTGGCCACTTGGGTTTAGGGTTCCATACGTCTCTTTCGGGTCTGGAGTTTCGGGTTCAAAAGCTTGAGGTTCTGTAGCGTGTAGGGTTTAGGGTTCTATACGGGTCGATAGCGCTCTGTAGGGGGCTGATAGACGTCCAGCAACCTTCATCATCCTCCAAAACTGAAAACCACCATTTATAAACCTGTTTTACCTCAACCCTAAATCCTTTTATAAATCCCCTTTTGCTTTTGGACTCAAGTCCCGCCAAACTACGACCTCGAAAGCCTAAACTCTAAATAAACCTCGTGTATAAACTACTAAACCGTAAACCCCTAAACCCTAAAACCCCCTAAACCCCTTTTGCATCCAGGCCTCCTGTGGTGTTGCCGGGTTATCAGCGCACTTGCACCGAAGATACGAAGGAAACAGCACTCAACATATGCGACCCCACTAGCTCTCGTGGCTAGGCGATCACTTGCTGAACTCTGAGATAAGCATCATAATTCAACACTGCCAGAAGAAGTAGGTTACCGAAGGACTGAAAAAGATCCACGTGCGCAAGCTGTAGATCAGGCAAAAAGGCGTCGCAGTCACGCGAAGCTACGGAGAGTGAAATGACCCAGGCACGATACTTCATGCGAACGAGAGCGAGCGCCTCACACAAACTCTGACGCAGACACTGTGGCTGAATCCGGATTGTCATGGGCCCTTCCTCTTCATCTATCCATGCCAGGCAATAGCCCTCACAGTGCTCGCACAATACACAGGAAAAGAGCCATGGAACAACCTGCAGGAGTGCATACTGCCATTTAGGCCATGGGCAATCCGAGATATACGAGTGCACCTCATCTTGTGCGACACGGTTGAAGTGGGACTGTCCCGCTTGTTGCCACTTCTTCCTATCTTCGGCTAGAGTAGGTAACAGCATCGGCGAAGGCTCCGGAATCCCAAAAGCATTAGCAGCCTGCTGTTGCAGCCACTTCAAGGGCGTGTTGGGATAACCTCCTTGAGGCCTGGGTGTGTGGGCAAAGTCAAGGAACACCTGTCTATTAGCAGCAGACGTAGGCCGCCGCAGTACGTGCCCCAAATAACTCCAGCATCGTAGGCGCCAGATCGTGCTCCAGGCATTGGCGGGGATCTTGGTGATGAGTACATGTGCTGACCTACGACGAAGACGGTTGAGGTGTAGGGCAATTTCGTGTTTGAGGGTATCGGGAACAAACAGATGCATGATGACAATCAGCATTGTGGCTTGTACTGCCAGAACCTCTTTGACACAGAGAGCAGTGGGGATCAGGAGCGGCGTGAACCAGAACCATTTGCCACCGATGTATCGATTGAGCAGTCTCATTGCAAGCATCGGGTCTGACCACCTGAGCCCCTTCAGTACCGTCTTGAGGGATTCCAGGCCTTGGTGTGCTGCCCGCTGCAGGCACGGTTGCAGTATAGAAAAAATGGACTCGCCCGTTTGGGGATGCCGTAAGGGCTTTCTGAGATAGGTCGTCTCAGCAGTCCAGTCAATCCGCGTGAACAAATGACCGTCGGGAATGTCCAGCAACCTTCCAGCCTCTAGCATGGCAGAATGAGCAAACAGCTGTGTCTTCGACAGATTCAGTCTGAGGCCAACTCTCGCAAGGGCATCCTGGATGCGCGGAGTCAACATGAGGGCTGTGCCCCAGTTAGCAAAGCGCAACAAGAGGTCGTCGACGAAGAGCCATCCCCAACCGCCAACTCTGTGAATAAGACCCTCAACATCCCAACAGTCAAACTCGACCTGAACAACCCAACCAATAATGAAAGCAAAAAGGATTGCGCTGTAAGAGTGTCCCTGCTGAACCCCTTGGCATTGCCCTACCGTCCAGTGATGCCCTCGCCAATCGAATGCAAGTTGCGGACTGCAAACTACACGCAAAAGCTGCAAAGCTTCACGACTGAATTGTGGCAAACAGTGCTTGTGAATGTAGGACGCAATATCCCTGTGCTGTAGCGTGTCGAACGCAGACTTAATGTCAGCGTTGACCCAGACCGCATAATCTCCAGTGAAGCTTTCCTGCTGCACTGCCCAGTATGCAGTTGACATGGCATCGAGCACTTGGCCCCCGGCAATCGCGCCATTTTGGCAACCGGGTACCGGCCAAGAGGACAGAAGTCGTCGCGTGAGCAGATAGCAGTACATTTTGTTGGCCACTTCGACCAGATTGATAGGACGAATATCAGAGCATGTTCGCACGGTCGAGACTTTGGGTATGAGAGTGACGAAGCCGTCATAAACCTCCTGAGGATGATCAGAGTCAATGAGCAAATCGTTGAAGAACATGAGAAGAATATGTTTGCCCTCCTGGAGACTCCACATAGACAAGAAAAGTTCGGACGACATGCCAGACATTCCAGAGGTTTTGCCCCTCTTCAGTCTCGCAATAGCTTCGTCAACTTCGTGTGTGGAGAAAGGCTTGACACAGTACTCTCCAGCAGTGGTTTGCAAGTCATCCATGATATGCTGAATATGTTGATGGCCTTCAGCGGGCACTTCGGGACTGAAGAGGGTCCGAAAGTGGTCCTCGAGCTGCTTCGCAGCCTGACCCAGGCTACCAGCTTCCTTGACCAGGCCCTGCATGTCACATCGAGGTTCTGTGCGCTGTCGTAGGTAGCTGATGGCCTGAGGATCGCCTTGGGACGCCTTGCGTTCCAAGTCTCGAAGCCATTGGAGTCTATCAGCTCTTCGCCTCGCTAGGATGAGACGCGTAAGCTCCAGCCTCCGGTTGGAGTCATCACAGTGTCGCCTCTCCCTACACAGCTCCTTGAGTTGAGGACTATCCCGGTACTTTTGGGAGGGGGTCCTGAAACAAGTGGTGCATTGGATATCCTTGAGGGCTTCCCACTTCCCTGGGAGATCAAGGCTAGGGAACGACTCCTTAAGGTCACCAAGGGCTTGCTGAAGGCCAGAGCCAACACTCCATCTGCCACATCGCTTTCTTGCTGGGCGTCGTCGATATGCGATTGTGGTCGGAGGGAAGCTCGAGTCTGGAATCCGCCTTCGATACTAGCTTACAGGCCTCCGGATGCCTAGAAGTTTGGCGGGTCAGTCTCCTGCTGATGTAGGCATAATCGAGCTCGCTTGCACTATGAGCACCAAACCTAGTGGCTGTATTGGAGCGCACACACTGGTATCCAAGCGACGCGAAGAGAGCATCGAGCAGTATGGCTCTGCGAGTGTTAGGCTCGGCATTGAAGTCTCCAATGAAAACCGTTTCGTCGTGCTGGTGTTGCTTGATGAAACTGGATAACTCCCGTAAGCTATTTTCAACATCGTCGTCCGACGCATGACTGTGAGGCAAATGTACCGAGAAAACCCACCGCTTAGCACCCGAACTGGAAGCCACAAACTGCACCCCAATCAGCCTCTCTCCCTGACAAGAGTCGCAGACGCAGTCGACCGCATCCCTGGAGAGAAGAATCACTTGAGCGAGATATGACTGAAGATCAGACGTGCCAAGGACGAAGTAATCCTGAAGCAAATTGTCGTAGAATCTGAATTCATGGAGCGCTCCAATGCCTTGATGCATATGAGCACTATTGCTTGCAGTAGTGATGCCGCCAACCTCCTGGAGGGCTAAAACCTCAATACCAGGATCAACCAAGGTAACCCATTCCGAGATATCAAGGAGGGATTTCCCTCGAACGTTCCAGGAGTCAAGAAACCAGAATTGAAAGCCAGGGGGTTTCGGCATTGATCAGTAGTTATGCACACGAATTTCGGTTTCAGCCTCAGAATGCCCTGATAGTCGCGCAATCTTGCTGATGTTGAAGAAGTAAGCGCAACCTTCACCGTCATCCTCAAAGGTACGGGTGACGAGCTTGTCAGATGGATCCGCAAAGAGCAATCGGGAAGAGCCTGCTGCCACCCGTTCTCCATGCAGCCAAATGACCTGCTTTGACCACCCGAACTCGAGCTGAGGCTTCTGGTTGTCAGGGAAAAGGGCCAAGATCGTTTCCACAGACTTCCTAGTCGCCTTGTTCATGAGCCGTCTTTGAAGACTTCGAGAAGGAGTGATCCACATCAACTCGCCCTTCGATGTCTTGACCTTCTTGGAGTACAGGGTTTGAAACTGAAAGAAGCGCTCAGCAGCCTCATCGTCAGAAAGCTTCGTCAAATACAGGTGTGCTGTCTGAGCCCGCTGTCCGAAGATGACGGTCTTCACCACGTACTTGTCCGCTGGGGTCGTGAAGGTGGCGGTAAGACGAGCCAAATCCTCAGTGATGACGCGGCGAGGCGTGTCAAATTCCCATCCTCCCACAACGATGTGACAGAAGTCTGTGTCTGAGGATTGATGTCCACCATGTATGGAAAGTTGCTGCGGGCCCGTCCTTCTTGCAGTCTGTCCCTGAAGTGGCGTATCGTGAATTCGATGTGCTCCTACGTGCTGTGGGAGTGGAGGAGGACTGCCATGTGAGGGTGGGGGAACAGCATGGTGAGATCGTTCGCTCTGTATCTGCTTTGAAAGAGACTCGAACTTGGCCGCCAGCTCGTCCACCCTGGGATCCTGAGGGGGCTCTGCCATCTGCTTCTCAACCGCCTCCAGCCTGGTCTGAAAGTCGCCCATGACATGGCGCATCTGGTAGAAGCCTACGTCCATACTCCGTTGCAGGTTGAGTGCCCAGGCAGGGGTTGAATCATCGACTGAAACGGAGTGTGGACATTGCTGTTTCAACATGTCGTCCAACAACCTGTCGGGATCATCCTTGTCGAAGATGGCGTTGTCATGAAGCCTTGCCTTTTTCGAGGGGCTGGTCCCCTCCCCCGGTAGCAGCAGAGTAGGGACATCGTCAGGATTAGGAGTGCCAGGTGATATCACATCAAGCTCTGCAGGCACTATTTGTCCCGGAAGCCCAGCCATGGAGCGAGAACTACGAACACCTGAAGAAGGATTAAGCCGAAACCTTGAGCCAAAATACCCTTGAGCCGTAGCCAACCCCTAGACCCCTAAACCGCTAAACGCCTAAACCCCCAAACCCTAAACCCCCAAACCCCTAAACCCCTAAACCCCCAAACACCCTACACCCTGAAGCCCTAAAGCCCTAGACCCCCGAACACCCTACACCCTGTGAGCCCTGCAAATTCGCCTGCCACGGCTTGGGAGTGCCTCCGGAGCCTGAGACGCCGAGGGTTCAGAAGGCGTATCAAAAAGGGGTAGCCCAAAGACTCCAAGATCCCTTAATTAAGGAATCTTCCTGAAATCAGAGTAGGGATCCTACTATAATTTAAGGTATATTCCTTAATTAAGGGATGTTCGAGTCCCTGGTCGTGTAAGGGGTGCTATAAGGACGAGAAGGGGTACTGTAAGGGATCTTATGAAGGGGGTGTTGTCAACAATTTGGGGTTTCAGGCTACGGTGGGGCTTAGCTAGGATTCAGGGTTCAGAATCGAGGGCTTAGTTTCCTCGACAAGCCTCGGTAAAACAAGCAATCAATTCCAGCATTTAGGGTTTAGGGTGTCCGAACCTGTTCTGAGGCCGAGGCTTACCACTGGAGTTACATGCCCACAGCACAGGTTACTTCCACAGCAAGCCACACTGCGACATACAAGCAATTAGAATTAGAAGGGACAAAAGGTGCACGCCATGTTTGAGGAACTTGCGAAAAAGCAATAGTACGGCAGTATGCTGAAACACACTGCGATGGGAGACCGGCGAGCTGCGGCACTACAACGTCCCATGGTTCACCCTCGGTTTTTGTCGGCGTTTCGGGCTTTAGGCCCTAGGGGGTTTAGGTTTCGACGAGCGTGGTAAAGGCTGAAGGGATGACTAGGCTTGTAGGGTTCAGGTAATTTGGCTGGCTTCTGTCGGGGGGTTGGGAGAGGTTGAAGGCTGTTTTCAGATTCAGGGCTTTCGGATTGTAGGCCTGGGTTAGTGCTTCAGGTTCAGTTGACTGTCGCAGTCTTCCAGTAGCCTGGCAAGTTTAGGGATTCCAGGGTTCGGGGCTCGGGGAATGAAGTGTCAAGAAGTGCATGCCTGAGCTTCAACCGCAAGCTCTAAGCAGCGCAGGGCTGCCAATTTTCAATGAAAGTTTTACGGCGGTTGGCCTACTCCTGTAACAGTAGACTCCATAGACTGGGCTGCCCAAGATTAAAAGTTTACTCTTCAGGGGCTTGGGCGCTCGAACTCAACTGAATATGACGCCAACCCTAAAGACACTGAGCGCACCAACGTTTTCAGATCAGAACATCAGCGACTCAGATGTAGTAACAAAATGCCTCGATCCCTGAGGCCTAAAACAAACAAGACACGTTGAATGTCAAGGCACCACGTCAACAAAATTTATAGCCACAATCACAGCAAGAGCAACCGCAAGAGGAATACCAGCGACAGTGGTAGCCATAGTCGTAAACCTTATTCACTCCAGATGGCGCATCCAGTGCTGCAAGCTCCTCAGTGGTGTCTGCTGCCTTCGCAGGCTTATGTAGGAACCTGATTAAGAAGCCCTGGTCCTGCAACTCCAAAACAGTAGGATTCATATGGGTGGTTGTCAAAACTAGGGTCCCTGTGTGGGTCCTTCTCATAATACGGCACCTAATATTTAGGGTACCCCAAAAAGGGACCACAATTTTGACAACCACCCATATAAGGAACCAAAAAAGTTCCTACTTGGAGGGGCAGGGGACTTAGTAAGTAGGTTATAAGTAGGGTTATAATTGGGGTAACTCCATTTAGGGTACTTATAACTCTACTTATAACCTACTTACTAAGTCCCCTGCCCTTCCAAGTACATTATGGGTTGAGTCCAAACTTTTGAGCCCGAGCCTGAAGAGCTAATTCAAGCCCGAAAACCCAGATCCAACGGTTGATGATATAAATCCTGCATTACCCATAATACGGAATATACCATAATTCCCATAGTTTAGGGTCCTTAAGGTAATGCAGGATTCATATCATCAACCGAAGGACTCCCTGAACCCTAAACCCGAACCTGAGCCCGAAACCTGACGCAAGGCTTCAAGAACTCCGAAGCTCGAAAAAACCCCGAAGCCCTCAAGTGCAAACCTCGGAACCCTAAAGCCCTTGCTAAGATGCTTCTTGTTGCATCCAGGCCTATTGCGACTGCCCTTAAACCCTTTAAAAGCTCTAAGACCTGAACCCCAGTGAAACCCTAAACCAAAAACTTGAACTCCTGAAAGCTGCAATTCGACTTCGTACCTATAGCTCTAGGTTTCGGGTTTTTGGTTTAGGTTTCGTTGTAGGATTTAGGGCCACCAAACCCAAATATAGGGGGCTTAAAGATTAGAACAGGGTTTTGGGCCCGTTTTAGAAGTATTACAAGGAACCCCCAAAATAGTACAAGGTATTGTTAAGGTTCCTATCGTACTGCAAGCCATTTTGCCACCTTCTCTACGGCGCACGTGGACTAGTATGCAGCCACGATTGTAGCTGCCAGTGGCGGTAACATGCTTTCAACCAGTGTGTCAGTCCGGTTGCTTGGGCCCCAGAGGGATTTGGCAAGACAGGGGCCTTAACAATTAAAAGCAAGGTTTAGGAGTATGTTACTGTACTTTGAAAAACGAGCCGTCGGTATCGTATTGCTCATGATCCAGGCTTCCATATTAAACTACTCCAGCCCGGC